TAATACTTGTATCCAGGAATGAGTTTGGGAGAATTGCTTCCCTTTCTATTTCATTAAACAGTTTGAGAAGAACTGGCATTAAATTTTCTCTAAAATTCTTGTAAAATTCAGCTGTGAATCCATCAAGACTTAGGCTTTTCTTTGTTGGTAATTTTTTAAATTACATTTTCAATTTCATTGGCTCATATTGGGTTATTCAGGATTTTTGTATCTTCTTAATTCTGGTTTGGTAATTCATATGTACCTAGGAATCTGTCCATTTCTTCTGTGTTTTCCATCTTGAATTTTGAGACAGGGTCTTACTAAATTGCTTTATTTTTTTTTGTACTGGGAATCGAACTCAGGACCTTGCACTTGCCAGGCAGGCGCTTGTGCCACTGAGCTATATCTCCGGCCCCCTGCTTTTTCCACTTTATGAGAGCAAAGATTTTCAAAGTAGGTATTGATAATTTGCTGAATTTCTATAGGATCTCTAGTGATTTCACCCTTTTCATTCCTTATTGCATGAATTTTAGTTTTTTATTTCCTTTTGTTGATAAGGTTAGCTAGGGACTTAATAATTTTATATATTCTTTCAAAACCAACTGTTTAATTCATTAATTCTTTCTATTGTTTTCTTAGTCTCCATTGCATTAATTTCTGCTGTGATCTTTATAATTTCCTGCCTTCTTTGGGCTTTGGGATTGACTTGCTCTTCTTTTTCTAGAAGCTTGAGGTACAGCATAAGATTGTTTCTTTGTGCTCATTCTGTTTTCCTGATGTGAGAAGTCAACACTATAAATTTCCCCCTGAGGACTGCTTTCATTGCATTCCACAGGTTCTGGTAAGTTGTATCTGCATTTTTGTTTGATTTTAAATATTGTTTAATTTCTTCATTAATTTCATCTGTGACCCATTTGTTGTTCAGGAGGGTGTTATTTAATTTCCATGTGTTTATGGAATTTTTATGATTACTTTTGTCAGTAATTTCCAATGTCATTGCACTATGGTCCGATGATATGCATGGGACAATTTCAATTCCTTTGTGTTTCCTTAAGCATGTTCTATGAGCTACTATATGGTCTATTTTTTAGAATATCCCACGTGCAGCTGAGAAGAATGCATATCTGATGTTCTTGTGTGGAACATTCTCTAAAAGTCTACTAAATCCATTTGTTCACAGGTTTGGTTTAGTTCTGTTATTTCTTTGCTGATTTTTTGCCTAGTTGATCTATCTCTTTGTGACAATGGGGTGTTAATGTCCCCCTTATGAATATATTATTGCTTATTTGATTTTTTATGTCTGTTAAAATTTGTCTTATATATTTGGGTGCTTCTGTATTTGGTGCATAGATATTTATGATTGTTTTCCCTTCCCTTGCAGTTTTCCCCTAACAAGTGAGTAATGACCTTCTTTATCTTTTTTGATTATTCTTGGTTTGAAGTTGACATTGTTTGCAAACAGAATAGCTACCCCTGCTTTTCTGCATACCTGTCACATGTAGTATTGTTTCTACCCTTTGACTTTCAGTCTGTGAATTTCCTTTTGAGTTAAATGTGTTTCATGCTGGACTTTGTGATGCACATCTGTAATCCCAGCACTTGTGAGGCTGAGGCAGGAGGATCATTGTTAATTCAAGGCCAGCCTGGGCCACAAAGTGAGCTGAAGGCCAGCCTTAATTGCATAGTGAGACCCTTTCTCAAAATGACAAAAAAAAAAATGTGTTTCTTGTATACAGCATACTGTTGGATTTGGTTTCTGGATCCACTCTGCCATTCTATTTCTTTTGATTGGTGAATTGAGGCCGTTTATACTGATGGTTATAACTGATATGTACTGGCTTATCTTTATCATGTTGTTTTCCTGCTGTTTGTTCCCTACTTTTCCTCTCTGCTTAACTGCTTGCTTTGCTTGTTGATTTCTTTCTATTGTTATTCTTGAAGTTGTGGTCATTTTTATCTCTTTCTAGAATATCTTGCAGTACTCTTTGTAAGGTTGGTTTGGTGGTGATGAATTACTTCAGTTCTTTGTCATGGAAGTATCTTACTTCTCCATTAATTTCGATTTTTTTTTTCCGGTACCAGGAATCGAACTCACAATGTCATGCTTGCCAGGCAGGCGCTGTGCCAGTAAGCTAAATCCCCAGCCCCATTCTCCATTAATTTTGAAAGATAGCTTTTCAGGGTACATCAATCTGGATTGGCAGTTATTTTCTTTCAGAACCTAAAATACTTTACTCCAAGCTGTTCTTAACTTAATGGTTTGTTTTGAGAAATCTGCCATGATTCTAATGGCCTTTCCTTTTTAAGTAATGTGTTTCTTTTCTCTAACAGCTTTAAATATTCTGTTCTTTTGCTGTATTTTGGGGACCTTGATTATTATGTATTTGGGTTTAGATTTATTTTGGTTATGGTTAGCTGGAGTCCTATATGCCTCACTAACTGTATGTCAGATTCTTCTCCCAAGCTTGGGAAATTTTCTGCTACTACTTCTGCAAATAGTCTTTTTATGTCATCCATTTTGACTCCTGATGTTTTGTTGACACCTATCAGTCTTATATTGTTGTTCTTTGCATCATCTTGCAGCTGTTGAATTGTTATTTACTGGTTCCTTGTTATTTTTAAGAAATCTTTCCTTTTGTGATCCCTAGCTACAATGCTGCCTTCAAGATCTGAAAGTCTATCTTCAGTTTCATTCAAGTGGTTTTGCCAGTTTTTGATGGAATTTTTAATTTCTTAGATATCTGAATCTGTTTCATGCATTCTAATTGTTTCCTATATTGTTCATTCAATGTTTCCATCATTTTGCTGTGCTCCTGTATTTTCTCATCTATGTCTTCTTAGGTGTGCTGAGTAATTCTTTCATTATGGTTGTCATTTTATTTTTACCTGAGAGATTATTTCTGATCTGATTTCTTCTATGGCCTGATGGAGTTGTTTCTTTACTTCAGTTGCTATCATGTCAGAAATTTCAGGTGTGTGACTTCCACATTCTTCTCTGTCAATGTCTCTTGGACTTTTTCTGGAAGGGGTGGAGGTCTGAGATTGTATTTTCTCCTTTCTTTTGACATTTTCAAAGCTCCCAACATATACTGGGGCTCAGCATCACTCTTGTGGTAGTAAGGGGCAGGGTGTTTCTCGCTAAGGCTCTTGAATTTCCCTGGGACTCAGTGTCCCTCCCACAATGGTGGGGTGGTGAGTGGTGTCTCTCTAAGGCTGCCAAAGTTCCCCAAGGCTCTGCATCTCTCCTGCAACAGTGTAGGGTCACAGGGAAGCTCACAGAGGCTCCCAGAGTTCACCAGGGCTCAGTGTCACTTCCATGATGGTGGGTAGGTGGGTCTTGGCTTACCAAGTTTCCTGAAGCTTTCTAGGTCTGGACATTGCTCCCAGGATGGTGAGAGGTTGGGGGTGGCAGCTCACCAAGGCTTCTGAAGCTGTTAGAGGCTCAGCATCACTCCTGCAATGTTGGGAGTATGGTGGGTGGCTTACTGAGGCTCCCAATGCTGTCCAGGGCTCAGCATCACTCTGGGTGGTGGTGAGGTGCACGGAGCTTTCTGAAGCTGTCCGTGTCTCAGTGGTCCCTCCTGTGATGGTGAGGGGAGGATGGGCTGCAGCTCACCAAGGCCCCCCCAGCTGAATCTTTATTATTTATTGATTTGTAAAATTCTGATACTCATTTAGATAAGTTATTTTCCAAGATCACAATGATAATTAAATTCAAGGATGAACTGAAATTTAAATCCACATCTGTGATTCTAAATATCAAACTCATTCCACCATAGCATGTTGACAAACTCTACTAATGTGGTAATAACTCATTGATTGTCATAATCTCATCAAACAAAATAACAATTGCCAAACCAATTTTCTCACCAATTGTGACAACCAGTGATTTCACGTTGTGCTTAAAACAGCACCTTCATTTTTTTCGCTCAAAATGGGTGGATGAGCTTGGTCTGCTTGCACAGTTGTTATAAATGGTTATTGGAACAAAATAGTTTCTTAATTATTTTAAATTTTATAATCCAACCTAAAATGATACATAGTGCATTAGCTACTCTGTACATACCTATTGTTGATAAATGCAAACATTCTGTTAAGGTATTTTTGTAATGAAAAATAATTTAGAGCTCACTATCTATGCAATGACTTTGTCATTCATGTTCATCCTGCCAGCTGAGGCAGGAGAACCTGTTGATATGGATTAGAGCTATGCTTGCAATTTGGGCACTGGTCACTAGGTGGCATATATTGGCCTGGATAGGTCAATTAGCTCTTCCGCAGGAACAGAGACTCAGAAAAAGCAAAATTTAGCATCTAGTCCCATTTTGGGGTACATTGCTACATTAGCTATTTATCTTGCCTAAAGACTAAATTTTGGCTAATATTTATAAATTAAAACTAACTACTAACAAATCAGTTAAGTCCAGATTACAGTTATATGGAATAAAAATCATTTGTAAGCTGAAATCAGACCCTGGTAGTTCTCCATAAATCATTTGGGGACATTAGCCCCTGAGATGTAGACCTGCAACTAGACAGAGGGAATTCACACATAGTTGTGATACTCAAAATACTGTTTTAGGTAGAAAAGCAGAAATATCTAGAATAAATGGGGCTTGAGTTTAAGATCACAAATTATAACATATTGTTTATCTATTTCCCTGCTTCATTTAGCATTTTTCATGTAAATAATTTTTATTTACTTTGCTAACAGAGCTGTTCGCTTGCAACCAAGATGAAATAACAGAGATCAAATTTATCTTCCTACTTGAAACAACTGGGGAAATAAATGAAACGTGTATTTTTCAGATAATGAACATAAGGGAATACAACTCAGTGCTCCCTTCAGGAAAGGAACTAAATCAGATAAGCCTCATAGATTGCCCCTACTTACAACTAGACAGAGTTTTCAAATCACAGGAGGGAATCTCAGTAAAAGCCCAAGAGTATCTCTGAATTGAGATGGAATTCAGAATTCAGAGAGCTCAAGATTCCTAGAATTCACAGGGAAGAGTACTGGAGAGGAGAAGGTGGAAGGTGGGGAGAGAAAGAGACAGAGGCAGACAGAGACCTGAAGAAGATCTACCTCAAGTCTAAGGTTAAGTACTGGCCCTCATTTTAGTGTGTGAGAAAAGTGTGCAAGGTTCATAGGAAGAACCACCTAATAATAGCAGAGGAAACACTCCCAGAACTCAAAGAGCCAGGCTGGCTTCCAATCCCAGCTAGTCAGAACAGAAAACTTCATAAAATTCATGTTATTGGACAGACTACTTAGAACAGTATTGCCTTAATAGTGAGGTAAAATTAACCCAGGACTAAAACTTGTTCTGGTTCCCCTAATAAGGATGAGAAATAAGCTTCAAGAGGGTCACAATGTTTCCAAGTAATCTAAAAGCATCTCAGAACAAAACTTAAGACTATCTTTAAAAATACAAATTTACTCAACAACCAACAGGATAAAATTACAATGTCTGTATCTGGACAAAAATGACCAGGAATGCAAAGAAGCAGAACAGCACAATCCATAATGAGGAGCACAAAAAATCAATCAGAGCAGACACAGAAATGACAAATATGCTAGAACTAATTAGACAAAGATACTAAAACAGTATTATCAGTGTATCTCACATGTTCAAGAATTCCAAAGAAAAACTGAGTACATTAAGTAGAGATGCATAAAAACGATAAAGACCTCAGTTGAATTTCCAGAGAAGAAAATTAGACAGGAAAGGAGCAACAGAAGAATAGATAGCACTGGAAACCTTTGAAAGAGGAATGCAGAGAAAGTGTAAAAGAGAAAAACAAAATAGAGCATCATCTCCTGAGCTGCGGCCAACTTTGACCTAATGTGTCACTGGAGACCCCGCAGAAAAGTAGGGAACAAAAAAACTATTAGGAAAAATAATGATCGAATTTTACAAATGCCATGTGAACTATAAAGTCACTGATCCAAAAAGCAAAACAAACCTGAGCTCAAGAAACGTGAACAAGAATGCACCAAGTGAATTTGTAACCAAATTCTTTTAAAACGAGTCATAAAAGAGAAAATCAAAGTTAAATAAAGGGGACAAAAGATACATTGAGTACAGAGGAGCAAAGAGAAGAATGATGGTAATCTTGTGAAAAAGTAATGCGAGCAGGAAGACAGAGTGCAGCAGCCTTTTAAAGATAGTTTAATTAATTACTTTTGACCTAGAATTCAATACTTAGACCATCTTTCAAAACTAAAGGTGATGGGGAAAAAGAGTACATGGGAAATCTCTGCACCTCTCTCTGTGCCTCTTGCTCAAAGTTGTTGTGAACCTTTTTTTAAAAAGTGGTTTTTTTGTGTAGAAATGGGAAAGAGATCTGGGCCTGAGGGAGGGGAGAAACAGGGGCGAGATGGGGGTTCTATTTTTATAAAGATGAGATAAGGAACTTTTCAGATATACAGAATCCAAATTATTCAGCCAGAGTAGATTAACACTAGAATAGGTGCTAAGGGAATCCACTGAAGAGAAACATGAGCTCAGATGGAAATTTGGAGCTACATAAAATAATGAAAAGCAGCATAAATTTGTAATAGCATATATCTGTATGTATATATACGTATATACATATGTATATGTACATATATGTATAATCAAAAATATGGTGAATGTTTAAGGTTTAAAAATTATTGTAAAAAACACATTGTCATCAACTCCCGCCCAAATCCGCTCCTCTTAACACATATATACTATTGTTCTTGTCACTTTCTGAAGCAGTTCTGAAAGTCCTCTTTTGTGATTGTCTTTACTTGTACTGTTATGACTGCTTCAACATCCTGAATCAATTCAAAATGTTTACCTTGCATAGTCATTTTGATTTTGGGCAAGAGCCAGAAGTCACACTGTGCCAGATTCAGAGAATAAGGTAGATGGAGACACATTGTAGTGTTTTTATTTGATAAAAATTGCCATAAATGTTTTGAATTGATTCAAAAAACCATGATAGCCACAAAAAGGCATAAACAAAGACTTCCAGAATTACTTCAGAAAATGGCGAGGATGGTGGAATAAATGCAGTTGAAGCAAGAGGGAGTGTTTTGAGGGGAATTATGGCAATGTATCTTTGACTGTAATAAACATTTAATTTGAGCATTCACCATATTTTTCTGATCATATTGTGTATTCTTGCATGGATAGGATTTGTCTCATATTTTGTATTTCTTTAAAATATAACTGCCTTTTCAAAGTGAAATACTTCTACTCACAGAAGTCTAGTATGCAATATCATTATCCCCATACAAAAGCTAAGACTCATACAAATGAAAAACTTGCCTAGGGTGACAGTATGTCCAAGGTCAAATGCCTTTCCTCTTGCACAAATTTGTATTTGGCCCTAGCTATGAGATTAGCTTATGTGCTTTTTCAATAATGTGTTTATCAATAATGTGTTTAGAAATTTGAGGAGAGCTTAAAATGCATTCAGCCAAATGCAATCTGAATTAGTTGAGAAGCTTCTTACAGGACAGAAGTCTGAGGCCAACAGATACTGTCAAGTCTATCTCAGCACCATTCATTCCTCCCTTTTATTTCTATATCAGTAACACATTTCTGCTCATTCATTTTAACCACCTGGCATTGTTCATCCCTTTCTTTTCTGGAACAGAATTTCTTCAAGTAAGAGATTAATGCATCTATTAAATGTGCTTCATGGTGAAACTACTGGGAACAGTAAATTAAACAAGCTTATCTTATATAAGATATCATCAAACCTTCAATGTTTCATACCCTACATGAAATCTCTAAGAGAGGAAGGAAAATATATGGTATTTCCTATACTAATTTAACCCAAGAAAACTTATTTGTGCAACACTTACAGATACAGCATAACTTAAACATTCTCTTTTGGCAGTCCAGGTAGCAGGTGATCACATTCTTAAGATTCATATAATCTTAGTATTTTTGCATAACTTTGGAAAACGTAGGCATCCATGTAAATGAGATCATAGAAAGAAGCTGGAAATGTTCAGATCTAGTGTTGATCTCACTACCATTAGTAGGTAAGTGTTATATGTAAAAAGTGAAGAGTGATCAAAACCACAGCTAAAGATTTCTAGAAACAAAACATTTCTAATTTGGAGGTGAGCATTGTGCTTGCAGGCTTGTTCCTGTTGTCTTTGTTAACACCTGGTTGGCCATTATGAGATGCGAGTTGTTATGGTGATGACAGCAGCGCTCCACTGGAAGAAGATTCAGAAAGATGTTTCAAGAAGACTCTAAACCAATGCTTCTCACATGTTAATGTGCATCTGAATCACAATTTTGCTAAAATTTGGATTTATATTAATAAATCTGAGATTGGATCTGAGTTTGTGCATTTCTAACAGCTTTTCTACAGGGCAATGATACTGCTGATCAATGACCACATTTTGAGTTCAAAGGATATATTATATCTTACACACAGTTTGGGAAGTTTCTAGTCTTTTGGACTGGGCTGGAAGCTGAGGGAGCTGATGTGGATGGTCCTCTTGGGATTACCAATACCTTGTGAGATGTAGCAAGCAGAACTGCTCTTGGCTCTCAGAATTCAAAGAGAGTCCACATTTTTTACATTGGGTTTCCAGGTCCTCTGCAAATTGCCTGTATTTACCTTTATGTTCTTTTCTACCATTGTATGAATGTGAAATGTGAATTTCACCAGATTAAGAAATGTCTAGCAGATTAGTACAGCACATCCTTGGATGTGTCCAGGGGAGCCACGGAGGTATGGCCTTGGGTACTTTATTTGAGACTTTACCCATTCCTTTCTGACACTGTTATCCTGCTCTACTCCCCAGCCACCGTGAACTTCCACCATGACATGTCTGCTTTGAAGCCAGTTGACTATGGACTGAACCCCCCAAACTATTATCTTAATTAAACCTTTCCTCCTTTATGTTGTATCAGGTACAGTGCTGTGCCTAGCAATGGGAAAGCTGACTAATACAATGAACATATGTTCCTTTCCACCCTTGCCATTTTGAAAGGGACCACAATGATACAAGGAATTATTTGGGGGAGATATTTAAAATCAATTCCCTTTGTCTTTGAAAGGATTGTTCTTTCTCCAACATGAGCTGTACATCTCAGACTTACTCATTCTGCAAAGGCCAGTTAGAAGTTCTTTTGCTGAGAAGTCTTCCAAAATACCCCAGCCAATATGGCTGAGCCCATCTGACTCCACTTCTTGGACAATATCCTTTGAATTTTTCTGTTTACAAACAAAGGTGGGAGCATTTTAGAGGATAAATGAATTAGAGTAAGCTGTGAGCATTGCAGATAGAAGAAGATCTCATTGAGATCACTTTTAAATCTGGATTGTTAATACAACAGTTACATAGGAAATGTAGGTTTCCAGGGATCTGAAAGAAGTTTGGGTGCCTAGTAACTATAATGGATTTAGTCTGCATATCCTAAATAAGTGACCAAGGCCACCTAGATAATCTCTTTTTTTGCAAACATACAAAAGAATAAGCCAGAAGAAATAATTGTCATTATACCATAGATCAGACATAATGCTTTAACAGTGAATAACCTATGTTTTCTATTCCATCAGTTGCCTCTGACCTATTTTATCTCCTAGTTACATAGCAAGCTGATCAAAAATATCTTGAGATTATGCATGGATACACTTCATGCAAAAGTGTCTTGTACAGGCTAATCCTTCACTCAAACAAAAGAGCAAAAGCAGAGTCAGTAGAGGTGGAAAGGGCTTTGACCTCTCTTGCCCATGTGAGGTGGAAAGTAAATGTGCTGTATGTTTACAGCACAGGACTCTTCTTTTCCCCAACATACCCGAGGGTAGGCACAGTGAATGTTTACTGATCACCTCGTACCCAGAAGCAGAAAGGAAAGTGTTTTTGAAAGTTGCTCCTATGACTAAAGCCACAATCTTAGAGAATCAAAAAGAAGTTGAAGACGCAGGTTCTGAATCATGGACAGAAAAGAGTAGTCAGACTCAAGATGAACTGAGAAATACTCTGAGGATGGATAGATTTACTTACCACCTCACATGTGTATCTCTCTGAGGTTGACTACTGCCTTGTAGCTCCCAAGCCAAGTGATCCACCCTGTGGCTCACTACCATAGATTC